TCCTGGCACGCTTCCTCCTCACTGACGACACGACCAAGCAGCAGCTTTGAGGCAGCAACAGTAGCAGCCGCCTGGACCTCAGGTGACTTGCCACCACCCTTGACAGCTTTGACGTATATCTTCAGCAGGCCAGGTGTTGACGATAAGAGCTGGGCGCCATGGACATTGAGAATATCGGTGAGAATGTGCAGAGCAGTGATCTGGAGCGCTGTGTGACCCTTAGTGAAAAAATGCATGAACAAGCTAAGATTCTCTTCGGCGAGTGAGCGATCCTGGAGGGCACAAAGGCCAAGGCAAACCAGGCCTCGTTCACGAACGGGTGCCTCGTGACTTCGGACTGCTGGAACAACGAGGTTATTCAGCATCGCCACAAGATCGGTGTTGTCCTGGAGGTTGCTTGCCACATGGGTGAGCATGCACTGAACGATATGCAAACACTTCATGTTGACAACAATTTCTCTGACTGCCTTCTCACGCGCCTCTTCCTCGCTCAGTTCAGGGTCACCGCCTCGCTTGCTTCCCTTAGTTGGCGTACTCTGACCGCTAACCTCTGATCTGGCTGAATGGAAGCTGTCTTCTGCATCATCTGCAGGAGGATCATCGACAATGGTGTCATGAACATCTGCCACTGACTCTAGGACAATGCTTATGAATTCTCGCTCTCCGGCAGCATCTGGAGAACAGATACTCTGAAGTGTCTCAACAGCGAGCTTTGTGACCTCGTCTGGTAAATCGGGGATCGAAATAGCCTGCCGAAGCAGGGTGAACATCTTACGTCGTCCAACTTCGTCAGAGTAATCGAGGGTCAGTGCAATTTGGAGCAGTTGTTCAACAATAAACTCCTGCTCTACCGTGTCTTCTTCTTCATCTTCGTCGTCTGCCTCTGCTATCCTCTTAACGGCAGTAGTTAGAACGTGAAGGTATCGCTCCAAGAAGAAAGCGAGCTTGGTGACCTCGGGAAGTTTTTCTTCCAAGAGGTTCAGGTACTTGCCATCGCCTTCAAGGCGGCAGAAATCGTTGAAACTCCTAGCCATGAAGACTGACTCGGCAGACAGGGTCTCCCAAAAGTTGTCATTAAACTCTACTGTTTCACGGTAGTCCGGGCGCCCCTCCCAGAAGCCTTTCATGGCCTCTAGTGCAACGCCGTTCTCAACGCCAGTATTGATCACGTCAATTCGCTCTAGCAATTCAAGGAGGCCATCAAAGTTGGGAGGTGCTGGTTCTACCGGTACGCCATCCTCTTGAGGGGGTGCGCCTGCGCAGTCTTCAATCCATCGCTCGCGAAACAGTCTGCTTGCAGCTTTTCGGACGTTCTCGTCTCTGTCACGAATACCCCAGCGAAGGAGCTTCTCTCGCATTTTAACAGACAAGTGACGGAAATCACCTAGGGCAGGGAGGAGTCTGGAATAAACAGCCCTTCGAGTTGCTGCGTCTTGATCGCGCGCGCGCTCAAGAAGGACTGACAAAGTCTCGGGTAAGATGGGAAGGTTGACGAGGAGCGATCTTCGCACATCAGCGTTGGGGTCGTTCTGTAGAACCTCCAACAGCTTCTCGAGCAGACCGGTATCGTCGTCGTCGCTATCATCAGAGTTGGTGCAGCCTTCCGTCTGATTTCCTGCAAGACGGCCTAGACCCAGCACCGCTTGAGAGCGGACCATGGCCTCCTTGTCTCGGATCCTCTTGAGTAGCCCATGGCGCAGTTTCTGGAAGAGATCGTCGTCTATCGCGTCGAGCGAGTTGATAATGTGAGAGATGAGCTGTGTCGACCTGAAGCGAACCACCTTATCCTTGGCGGTCAGAAGAGGAAGAATGGCTTCCAGGAGTTGTGAGGTTAGGCGAGTGCTTGGAGTCTCTGGCATGACACTTGCATCTTGATCGACCTCTCCTAGGAGTTCATTGTCTTTTGCACTTGCGTGCTGCAGAAAGAGGCCGGTGAATTTAATTGACTTTTCTCCCACACTCTCCGACTTCTTGATTGGCATGATTTTGCTAACGCAGCGTATAAATTCGTGATTGAAAGCATCCTCGTCGAAATCGTCTGCATGAGATTGGTCGGGGTTTGTTGGCTCGTAAGCGCAAGACTCCTGAATCTTTCGTAGATTCACGACAAGCTTTCGGTGTGTTGCCGTAGTTCTCTGTGCATCACGAAAGACAGCACATACTTTGGTTCGTAGAGCGCTGTCAGGGGTATCATCTGGTGAGGTACGAGAAGCAGCTGAGCTTCGCGCAGCTGGCGTCCTCGAAGAACGGGCGGTAGTTCTTGCAGGCATTTTTTGTGTGTCGCCTTAGTCCATCGACTGTTGTTAAGAGAGCAATGTTGATAGTTGCCCAAGGAGGTTTCGCATTGTTTGTTTACCAGTATTCCCTTTACGGCTTAGTCGCAACGAGGGACTGAGGGGCTCAATCTCTCCACTTAACGACTTAACGGAACGGCAGGTGCGGTACGTACCCCCCAGGACTTAGGTTTCCATCGATAAGACCTTATCGAACTTTTTTTTCGCTCTGGTCGCAAAGCCAGTCATTCTATTCTACTTTAATAAAACCATTTTGCACACCCATACAGCAAACATGGGTGCATCAAAGAACGACCGAAAGCGCCCTCATACTGAGACAGAGGAGCTCGATCCTACTTCTTTCGAAGATCGCGACAATGGAGCGGTAAAGGCCTCCAAGAGAGCCCGAGTCCAAGATCGAAGATCGCTCTTCGTCCGATCACTACCTCCCGGTGCCACGAGCGAAAGTCTTACCGATTTCTTCTCTCAGCATTACCCAGTGAAGCACGCTACTGTTGTTGTCGACCAAAAGACCAAGGAGTCAAGAGGTTACGGTTTCGTCACATTGGCTGACGCTGAGGACGCCGCAGAGGCCAAGAAAGCTCTGAACAACCAAGATTGGAATGGACGCCGAATCCGCATTGATGTTGCTGAGCCAAGACAAAGAAACAATACGACAGGCGAATTGCCTGCTCACAAGGTTCGCAAGGAGGAGCTTCAGCGACCCCCTAAGCTCATTGTGCGCAACCTGCCTTGGAGCATTAAGACATCAGAACAATTGAGCCATCTTTTCAGAAGCTTTGGAAAAGTCAAGTTCGCCGATCTGCCTCAAGACAAGGGTAAGCTCAAAGGATTCGGTTTTGTTACCCTCAGGGGAAAGCCGAATGCCGAACGTGCGTTGGAAGCCATCAACGGCAAGGAGATTGACGGAAGAACCCTGGCTGTTGACTGGGCTGTTGACAAGGATACTTGGGAGAAGCAGCAGCCAAAGGAGGAGGCTAAGCCTAAGAAGGCACCAAAGAAGCAAGAAGTTGATGAGGAAGAGGAGGATGATCAAACGTCTTCAGAGGGAAGCGATGATGAGGATGAAGAGGAGGGCGGCGCAGAGGTTAACAGAGATGATCAATTGGATGCTGATCTGAAGAACTTCTTTAAGAATCACATGGAGAATCTCGAGGATGAGGAGGACGATGATGAAGAGGACGACGAAGATGATGAAGCCGACAAGCAGGCTGAGAAGGAGGTGCAGAGCCTGGCTCCGAAGAGGATGACAGACAACACTTCAACTGTCTTCATTCGCAACCTACCGTTTACGACCACAGATGAGCAACTCAAAAATTTCTTTGATCATTTTGGCAAGGTTCGATACGCCCGAGTAGTCATGGACAAGGTCACGGAGAAGCCTGCAGGTACTGCTTTCGTCTGTTTCTACGACGTCGACGACGCCAAAAAGTGCATCAAAGGCGCTCCTCGCCCTGACCCAGCGCTTGCAGCTGCCAAGAACTCCATCCTCCAAGATGAGAGTGCTGATCCTGATGGCAAGTACACACTCGATGGACGTCTCCTCCAGGTTGCACAAGCAGTCAACAAGCAAGAGGCAACCAACCTCGCTGACAGCTCCCTCGCCAAGCGTAACGAGAAGGACAAGCGCAAGCTCTTCCTGCTGAACGAGGGTGTGATCGACCGAAGCTCGCCTCTTTTTAACCTCCTCACACTCTCGGAAATGCAAGTGCGACAAGCCAGTGCCGCTCAACGAAAGAAGCTTGTGCAGGGTAACCCCAGTCTGCACTTGAGTCTGACTCGATTGGCTATACGCAACATTCCCCGAAACATGGATTCCAAAGATCTTAAGGAACTTGCGCGAAAGGCTGTTGTTGAGTTTGCAAAGGAGGTCAAAGCAGGCCACCGACAGCCGCTGTCAAAGGAAGAGAATGCACGAGATGGAAAGGATGCTAAGGAGAAGGAGCACGAGCGCAAGGCGAAGGGCAAGGGTATCATTCGTCAAGCCAAGATCGTGTTTGAGAGTGGACAGGGACAAAAGATGCCAGAGAAGGATGGTGGCAAGAGTCGTGGCTATGGTTTCATCGAGTACACCTCACACCACTGGGCCCTGATGGGACTGCGTTATCTTAACGGTCATCAGCTCGAGAATGAGGCTGGCAAGAAACAGAGACTGGTCGTTGAGTTCGCTATCGAGAATGCTCAAGTTGTTCAGCGACGACGTGCGAACGAGGAGAGGTCTAGACAACTCAACCCAGAACATAATAAGGCTGCTAAGGCTGAGACTCAGCCCAAGACAAATGCTCAGCATGCCAGGGATGACAAGAAGCGCGGACGCAAGGGCGATAGGGGTGATAAGGTCCATAAGGGTGGCAAGGACAGAGGCAGTAAGCAGGCCGAGGAAGAGGGTGGCCGGAAGCCAGAGACAGATGCCGAGATGAAGCACAGACTGATTGCGCGGACCAGAGTGATGCGCAAGAAGAAGGCTCTGAGTCGGGGAAAGAAATAAGTGCTAGAGTGTTGATGCCTGTCTACTTAAAAGTGTTTACAACGAATTTCATGGTTAGGGGTTATTACAATTTGAGATCAGCCTGTCGCTCGACTGACTAGAAGAGCATGATGTCGAAACTTCTCGTCGTTATAATATTACATTTACCAAATCACACATCATTAAACTGGGAGCGAATTCCACCTCAACTTCTCCGTCACATCCAGAGTGCAGAGTCATTATTTCCAGAGCCAGCCAGTCTTTGCTCTTGCACTTCCGTCCACCTTGGTGCCAGGTTCCTGGCCGCCATTATCCTTATGCTTATCCTCCATCTGTACAGGTTCATTGTCTTTTGGGGCAGGTCGAACGGTGTAATGACTGTGGCTTCCAATCTCGGTACCGTTTTCATCAAGTGTCTTGACCAATGTCTTTGTGTGTAGGTAGCCAAATCGATCTACGTATTCGTCCTTAGTGACGACCTGCTTCTCATCCCTTCCAGACTTCTGTAGCTGCTTCTCTTCGCTATTAGAAGATGCCGTAGGGTGGTCCTCGGTAATCAGCTTCATGAACGAATCCCAGGGCGATCGCTCGCTGGCAAAGGATGACTGAATGGCAGAGAATAGTTCGTCAAAGTCGTTAGGTGCTTGGCGCAGGTTGCGGCGTCCATGAAGCTCTGCACGGAGATCCTCAATGTCATACTCAGAAGCACTTTCTCCATCCAAACGGATTCTCTCTTCATTGCGTTCCTCACTACTCAGGACAGGGTCTCTCGAGATATGGTTCCTGTCATCCTCGCCAAAAGCAGCGCGCCATACTTCTTGTGCTCTGCGATCTAATTCTTTGTGTAGTTGGTCCCAATTATTGTTCGCAAGCGACTTCACAAGCTTGGCGGGTCCAGAGTCCTCCAGGAGACCCTGCGATCTCAACCTGTGCAGCCAAAAGTACGCAGGCTCACCATTTGGGTACATAGATCGGAGGAGTTTCCGTTGCTCATATCGGGATTTGAGGTCTGGCAGTTCCTTTCCCTGTGACTCAGCAAGGAGATCCTCAAAGGCGTCTTCGAAGGTGAAGATGGAAGTGTCTATGTCGGAGGGTGCATCGTTTGGTCTAGGCTGGGGCATATCTCGAAGGGCCAGCGGGGAATAAGAGGAGAAAGCAATGGAGGCCATGCTCTGTTCAGAAGGCCAGGCGAAGCCAAGATCCAAAGGTCCCAGCATAGTGGATATGTTTGTGTGTTGTGTGTAGTATGTAAGTAGTGAGTTGTGATGCAGTTGAGACTCAATCAAGTTAGAGCCCAGTTTCCGTTAGGTATCAGAAACGTCCAAAGATGAGTTCGCTGAGATGCGTCTTTTAGGAGGTCACGTTCATGGAGAGATTTTCTTTTAAGAATTAAATAGATAAATTATAGTAAGGAACTCTCAAAGAAAGTGCCAGAATTGATGCGAGATTCGTCGTGATTCCAGAAGTGAAGTGAATTGAGCAAACCATGTGACGATTGAAAGCTCTCGTTCCATTGCAAGTTATGACGGCAAAGTCCAACGCTAGTGGGGGTGGCGGGCAACAACGGGTATCCCCAAGGCATCGAACCAGTGGCTTACAGTTGATCTTTGATTCTATTGGCCTATTTCAGCGACAAGACTGGACCCCTGGGCCAGAGACAGGCTCCACCTTGACACCTCAGGGCAGTTTCTACTTTCTGCCTCGCCTAAAAATGCGAGATGACACTGGATCCCCGGGCTCGCCAAGGCCGTGCCAACCGCGGGCATACATCACCTCGATTACCAACTTGACTCTCGCAAGGCAAGCTTCTTGTCTTGTCTTTTTGAGACATTATTCTTTTGTTTCTTGGTAGATTCTTCCTACAAACCTATCGCCATCATCATCGACATACCATCATCATCTCCGTCTGCGACGGCTGGCCATGTACTGCACGACGCAGCTCGATACTGACCATCCGCTGCCCCCATGATACTCTTAACAAACCGACACTATCGATTCTTCCACCACAACGTCAATCACGCTTTATCCGTCCAAGCTCGGTCATCTTATTATCCGTTCCCGGTGACCGATCCTCCGAATTCCCCGACGTTTGTCTGATTATCGCGCCTTAACTTTTGTTATCGCCCGTCGCGAATTTATCCAAAACCTGTTGTGCACCTCTCCCGCCAGATGATGCGGCTGGCCAATGTCGAATCGCCATGGCCATCAATGGTGGTCGATTCTTGGGCGCAAGACGCCTCCAATAACTCCTCTCACCACGGCCATTCCGGCAAACCCGGCGATACAATACAGGAGTGGTCCTCACTTATCGGTATCGTCACAGCCATTGTAGGCAACGTACTCATCGCTCTTGCGCTGAATGTCCAGAGATACGCACATATTCGACTTCACAAGCAACGGAGTAGGAACCGGAAGAGGGCGAAAGAAGCATTGAAGCACCCTCACCCTGGAGATCATGGTGGCTCATACGGCACCATTGGAGGAGGTAGCGATGGAGCTGGGTATCAAAATGGTCACGGAACAAGTACAGATGATGGAAATCGCATAGACGAGAGCCGTGAAACTGATCCGCTGACCGGGTCCTTTCACTCCGATGCATCACAGAGCATCGATAGCAAAGAGGATGATACGTCGTCATCATACCTCAAATCTCCGTACTGGTGGTTGGGTCAAGTTCTTATTACTCTTGGCGAGATGGGCAACTTCCTCGCATATGGCTTCGCCCCTGCTTCGATTGTCTCTCCTCTTGGAGTCGTCGCCTTGATATCAAACTGCATCATTGCGCCTGCCATGTTCCACGAGAAGTTCCGACAGCGCGATTTCTGGGGTGTAGTTATTGCTGTAGGTGGTGTTGTTACTGTTGTTCTGAGCGCAAAGCAAGAGGAGACCAAGTTGAACCCTCATGATGTATGGGACGCGATCACTACGTTGGCTTTCGAGATCTATCTTGGCGTGACCATATTTCTTATCCTGGTCTTGATGTGGGCAAGTCATAGGTACGGAAGACGCACGATTCTTATCGACCTGGGACTTGTCGGTTTGTTTGGTATGTGACACGGTATAGAAGCTTGCTCTGCAGACACTGACTACAGATCTAGGCGGCTACACTGCCCTTGCGACAAAGGGCGTTTCGTCGATGTTGTCTTCCACTCTTTGGCGTGCTTTTGCAACTCCTGTCACTTACGTTCTCATCGTTATTCTCCTTGGGACGGCAGTCATGCAGATTCGCTACGTCAACAAGGCGCTGCAACGCTTCGATTCGACGCAAGTTATCCCAATCCAGTTCGTAATGTTTACGCTGTGTGTGATCATCGGAAGCGCCGTCCTTTACCGCGATTTCGAACGAACGAACGCTGAACAGGCAGCCAAGTTTGTTGGGGGTTGTCTCCTTACCTTCTTTGGCGTCTTTCTCATTACTAGCGGCCGTGAGCAAAGCCATAACGATGACGAAGTCCTATCCGAAGACGATGATTTTGAGGATACCATAGGCCTTGCGAACCAGGAAGGGAATGGCACAGCGTCCTACCAAGACGGTCAGGGGTTCTCTACTCCCAAGTCTCAGTCACGACGGTCGAGTCACCTGTCAGGTCTTAACTATCCTGACGCGCAGAGAGCCTTGAAGGCGGCGGTTACACCACATCAGGACAACAACAATCTCCCATCAGCCAAGGCTTTGAGTTCTCAGATGTCCCCAGGCCAGGAGACTATGGCTTCTGGTTTCCCCTGGAACGATTTCGGAGGGCCGTCAACACCACCGGGGAGAGGCGTTAGGGCGTACTCTACAGACTCTGTTCTTGCACCACCAGGGGCCGCGGGTTCAGTGGCGCTTGCCTCCCACCCAGCAACACCGATGAGAGATGTCCCAGCTGCTGATGGCTCGCTTCTCCCACGGCCTCAGGCTAGTCCTTCGAAGCCTGGTGGTACTGGAAGCCGATCCAGGACCTTCATATCCCCGTCTCCTTTATCGTCGACAGTTACGGCTGTGGTCAAGGACGCCTTTCTGCGCGCATCTGACGACCCGAGTGTTCGCCAGTCCTCGATGCGTCGTATACGTTCCACCATCCGTGCCGGGTTGTTCTTTAACGAAGACGATGAGAATGCTGATCCCGAGAACAACTCCCGGTCGAACACGCTCCCCGCACAATCAGCAGCGCCGGTATCAGTGGAAAATCTTCCTAGCGCCTTAGACGAGGCTGAGGGGCCTGCAGGCGAGGACGATCTGGTACGTCGGCGGTCACGTAGTGTTAGTGATACACTAGGCGAATTTTTTGGCGTCAGGCGCAAGAAGCGCCTTGATGGCTATTTCGCGAGCGACGTCGAAGATGTGACAATAGGAGGAGCTGCCCCAGGTCAAGATCGGACGGATAGCCAAGGGGATTGCCGAGAAGTATAATACGCGGAGCATCTAATAATCATGTTTATGCAAATACATACACATTGCGAGCCGGCGTTGGTTAGCACGTTACTCTTCTTACTGGCGCCAGAGTCATTTCGTTGTCCAGGCTTCTAGCGTTGGCGTTTGGGGTCTTAGAGTAGGGGGTAATGAGATAAGCTCAGTTTCTGGGATAGTATATGTTTAGCAGCATTCTACAGTATTGCTTCCATGTTTAGGATCCAATGGATATTCGCTCGCCCTGCAGTTACAAGCCTGAACCGGAGCTGGACAGCGGAATTTGGTAGCCTCGGGATGATCAATGGCGGGGCCTCTCTTCTCTCCCGTCTCTTATCTTGAACCATCGTTTTGCTTGGTGTCTTTAAGCTTGAGGTTCAGTGAGTTAGCGACTGGACGCCTAGTCCTGAAACGAAACAGTCGAGTGCTGCTCTTGTCGATCGTGATGGAAGTTGTGACAAGTGCCGTAATTGGCTGAAACATTAGAACTCGCTTCTCGCGTCGCATTGAAAAAGGTCATAAGACTGTGCACTGTGCTATCATGGTACCCTGCTTCAGCTTCGCTTAGGGGTCTTGAGGAGGAACGGTAGCGGAGCGAGTGTCCGAGAACAGCGTATATTCAACGCATCTATGCATGCATGTAGCCGTAGCATCTATCTCATATGTAGGTGAGCATAGGTACTGCAGTGGGCAGGTAGAAAGTTGCCAGGTGGCTCTGGTATAGGTAGTTCGTGTAACCAGGCGTAATACAAACTGGCGGATATTCGCCGAATGGTGTCTTGTAAGTTGCAAAAGTGTCAAACATTAAGGCCAAGCCACGAGAAGAAAAGGCCCCTTTCCCGTTTGGCCTGACAGGGGAGGTGTTGTATTCTCCGAGGCTACAAGACCCCAATTGGGATACGATCAGCTTCTGTGGCCCTGTAGGTTACTCGCAAGCTAAGCTAAGTCGTAGTGCTTCCGAGCTTGTGAACCATGAACGTTGGGCTGTGGTGCCCGGTGGGAGGGAGCAGAATAGCGAGGGGATAGCATGTGTCTGGCTCCAACGTCTTGCGCAACCTCGGAATTGAGTTTGTTAGCGAATGGTTAGCTGTCTGATGTCTGTCTGCAAAGAGCTCTAAATCGCGACTGGGGCATATCCGCCGTATATGTACTGTGCTTGCTATGTACATACAGGCATTCATGGATGGGAGACCCAAGAGACTGATTGTTCATTTACCGACAGATAGGTAGCTCTGATGCCATGCAGCGTAGACAGTTAGACTGGCCAGTTTTCAAGGCCCAGACAGATCCCATTATCTTGGACTTGGAGGACCAGGGAAGTAAGTGAGATCCCTGTCCTTGAAATTTTGGGACGTGGCACTTTGAGTTCAGGAACAGACGGGTACAGACTAGCAAAGTTACTAGAGATTGAGCTGCTGGGTACAGGGCCTAGTATCAGTAGCCAGAGTTGACAAGATCGTCTTCCTTGCAGAATTGGCTTGCAAAGATGCATTTCCAAAATGATGTGACAGCTCCTTTCAAGTGCGGCAATTGAAACGACCAACAACATGAGATACAGTAACGATTCTGGAGGAGCCTATGTAGGGAAGAAACAGACGAGGCCGATATACGACCCAGCGACGGAAGACGAAAATTGATTCCGCGGCGCTAGACCTCCAACAACCAACAACCGACAGGCCTCTTTAGCGGCGGGAAGGAAGGGCCAGAGGCCCGAGGAGACGACGGGCAGGTCCAGGACTCCAGGAATAAAAAGAAGTCTCCAGTGAATCCTCCCTCCACTGGATATCAATGCCTAGACCTGGGATGCAAGGGTGGAGAGGCTCAACATCCGACCAACTCTTGTGGAAAGAACTGGGTAATGGGTACTGTATCGGGTGGGTGAGTGAGCTTTGGTTCCCGATCCCCGCGAAGAGATCGGTTATGATTTGTACTGTACAGTCTGTCAACCTGTTCGCTATTCCCTACTGTAGGCAGAGGCTGGAGAGATGTCACACTGTATCAAGGTTTGCCGATGAAGGGTTGATGCTTGTTTCCCTTGTATCCGTACCTACATATGTATTGTTCCACAGTTCTGCATGTTGTATCCGCTTCCACGTACACCAGGTCGTGTTCTGTCGTATCGATATCCATAGCACGAACCCTAATAACATCCTTCAGAAGGAAAGGTTTGAAAAACCCTCAATGAGCCGCCCTTACCTGTGTCCCAAGGTTTGACTGCGTCTTCAGCTGCAAGGACCGAGGATTCACACGCCGGCATGCGCATGGTCAACAAAGATAGTCACACCGACTTATTATAGAGTCCGGGGGTTGCATGAATTTCGACGTCGTACATTCCGTGGTCGCATAAGTACAGCAGCTAATAAGTTGACTTGGTGTCTGTCTGTCTAGCCGTTGTAAGTGTGGGTGCAGTTAGGTGTTGGCTGTTGGCTCAGTGAGAATGGATGAAATCGGCCCTTGGAACTGCAACATGCGCATACCCGCGCTGATGTACCGTATGCTCGTGTGCGGTACAGCAGAGTCCAGCCCGTCTGTACAGCTTTCATTCATCTCGAGCCCAGGCTTGAGCCCAAGTCTGTGGGTGGCCGTGGTATGTATGTAAACGGGCAAGGGAGGGTATGTATCCGCAGTTCTCAGTGGTTTTGGTTGGCTCAGTACAGGTTGTTGCAAGGGCTTCTGATGCCGTAAAAAGGCACCGCGCGCGAGCTTCCGCAGGGCAGAACAGGGCAAGGGTCGGGTGTAAGACTGCAAGTGATGAAGGAGGCGTCGTAGACGGCCCATCGCGGCCCTTCCTGCGCCGATTGGCTGCTTTACTTATTGACAGGTTGAGCACAGTCAGCAATCCAATCCAAGCCAGGCAAGCAAGCAAGCAAGCATTTCCTCTTTGGATGATGAAGTCAATACTTGATCAAAAGCAAAGACCATGGTCCATACGTATGTATGTAGTATTCAGGATGGACTGTTAATATGGGAACCCTCAGTATCAGGAGATTCAAGAGCATAAGCAAGATGCTGTGTTACTGCATCAGGTAGGTAGGTACCTATCTCCATCAACAACAACCAACAAATACAAGAGTTCGCCGGGGACGTATTCCTTCAGAAGCACGTCTCCTCATCGGTGTACCTTAGTCTACGGGACTCGTGTAGATTTTAGCCAAGTGTGGTAGGTCGGTGATCGTCAGAGAAAGACCTCAATCTCCCCCGCGCTGCAGATTCTGTCATTCCGAATCCAATGCTTGACATCCATGATGCCAATGTCAACGAGACCCGGGTCCCTGGTCTGCCAGGTTGAATGGAATGTAAGAGATAGCTAAAGCAGTAAAGCTCCCGCCTGCCAGTGAGCGAATTCGTCAATCTCACCAACGATCACAGGAAGAACCTACCTCGTTAGGTAAGGCATCGGTTTGACTTGTTAGTGGAGGGTAAGCAGCAGGTGGTTCTGTTCCTGTTCTGTTCCTGTTCCTGTTCTTGTTCCTGATCCTGCCACCGTTTCTGACAGCCATCGGCTAAAGTGAAGCAATTGCTTGTGTCAGTGGCGTTAATCTCCTCCGATTACCCGGTGCATGAGGTGTCAACACAATGAAATCAATCCCCAAAATTCTTCATCGAAGCATGAAGGAATACGGCGCAGTTTAATTTGCCTACCCGGCAATAGGTTAGAGTGTGACTGGTGATTTCAACGCTCGTGACCAATCACTATACTTGTCCTGACCTAGATGCTTACTTCAAAGTTCACACAATTGTCGCAGGGAACTTTTGGGGTCAGTGAGATTCGTTCGAATTATCGTATGTATGCACATGGAAAAGTGTACGGAGTACCCGGAGTCAAAATATCGGGACCAACCGCGTATAGCGAGACACGACTGCCGCATTGAATATCTCACTGTCAGGTACCTACCCAGCTCAATGAGAGATAAGCTCAAACGCACCTTCTCGAATAGTCAGGTAGTTGAGTTGATTAATATATTTTAACTACTAATTTGCCTGCGTCAATTGGAAACCCGTAGGGTAAGGTAGGTAAGTACATGCTTGGTAATTGGATTGGGTTGGGCGGGCAAGGGAGGTGAAGTACAGTGAGTGGTATAATGGTGGGAAGGAAGGTCCATATGGCTTCGGCATCTACACGGACAGGAAGACCTGGGCATGAGCAACTTTATCAACTCCCAAGTTATCGCATCTCATCCAATGGCTTCTCCAAATTTCCGTCATCATCAACAAACTTCACTCTACCGTTTTGATTATCGCGTCATTATTATCATAATCTGCATATTAACCTTCCAACGGCAAAACCATATCGTGACGACGTCGAGAATCGAAGGTTCCATCGCGGCTTCTGGCGCCACCTGGCCTCCGTCTAGCAGCCTCTAACAGTCTCAAAGCTACCCAAGCCCAGCCTTAGCGTCCCGGGTCATCAAGCCCCCAAAGCAGCTCCTGCAGCCCCAGGGTCAGTGGCGGCAAACATCCGTATGCCGTTGCCCAGGACGTTCTGTACGTATTTCCTTAGCTCAACAGCTGGCGCAGCTTCTTGTGGAGCTCGGGACAGGGGCAGGATGCCACTTGGGTCATCAGCGTGATCAGTTCCTGGGCCCGTGATGAGTTAATTGAGACAGAGGGGGCCATATCGCTCCCTACGCACCAACGCGCGATTCAAACAGGAGTTGGAAAATCCAAGCTTTCCCGAAGCCCCAGCTGAGTCCTGTTACACGCACGTTCTTGATGGCCTCAGTGTGTTCGCTCAAGGGCCCGGCACTCCTACCCCTGACCGCTAACCACAAAAGGTAAAGGAATCCTGGCCCTGGCGCTACTGCACGTTACTGCAGGGCCCTGGTTCCCTCCGCTATTGACCCCTCCCAGACTGGGACACTAACTCGCAAGCAATTGGAAGAGCCAACAAGGTCGCGGCAATGTGCCAGAAAAAGATTCACCGCGTCTGTTTCGTCGCATCGGCATCAAGCTTTTTTGTCTCATCATATTCGCTCATCCGGCTGTCCTTCCGCGTCATCTAC